TAAAAGAGACAGACACAAAGGCAGATGAAAGGTGAGGTGAAAACTATGAAAGTAGGGTCATGATAGCTTGAACTCAGAAGTCAACTGCCGGTTTATAGACTTTTTTTGCCGCATGAGTATACGTTGCCTAGGGTGTACCACGTGGAGGTAAGTCTATCGCACTCCCCATACTACTAAATAATAACACAGGGGCTAAAGAAATGGTCTTGAATTTAAACTGACTTAAGTAACCTTTTTGGCAAATTAGATGCAAGTAAGTTCAGATGGACTAGTTCCAACTCGGAGAACCGTGATGACAAGAGAGTGGATAGGGAGATATTTGATTCATATTTTTAAGCGGAATAATCCAAAACGGAAATGGACATTGCGTCGTTTTCCTTAATCGTCCGGTTGCAGTCTACATTGAAGAGATTCGTGAGCCTTCATGCGGAAGTAGGGGCCACAGCAGTATAGAGACTCAAAAATTCATTTCACCTAGTGCAAACGGTCACCTGAAATGCTCAACGAATATTTACAATTAATAATTTACCATGTCTGTGAAAATTTATTTATTTATCTGTGAAAATTCAACCCAGCAAAATCATAGCTTCAATTCTAAGTAGTTTTAAGAAGTCAAATAGCATATTTGGTGACCTCAATGGTTGTCTGGAAAGTGCTACGATTTTATGGTTCTGAAAAGATTTTTTTTCAAAATTACATGCAATAGGACTAATTTTCTTCGAATCCGTATGACATTAAATCGGCGCAAATGTAAAAACTTTTCTAAGAGTCATTCATTCTACCTATGAAAGTATAAATAGCTAACTACAACCCTTATTGCACCAGTTGACATTCCTCCTCGTATGCTAATCACCGGAAAAACAGCCGGTTTACATTTAAATTAATGTGGTGTTGAACTAATTAATTTAAACTCGACCTTGATCCTCAATCAGCGATCACCCCTCATAGTTTGCTATTTTTCCTGGACTCCATACCACTTTGGACTTATTGTTTAGTCTCAGTTATGATCGATAAGGTCTTGAGGGCTAATACCATAATTTGGGGGGGGGGGGCGATAAAAACTTCCAAATCGTTATTTCGTGATGAAAGACCAATTCTTTAGTAAATAAATAATGGAAATTCAATAACCACGGCCCTACTGCATTACCAAGCATGTCCAAAGAACCACTTTATTGTTGAATTCCAAATTATTATTAAATTTTTGTTTTTTTTACAAACACCGCATTAATCTCGATTGTCCATCTTCGCAATCATCACGATAGTGACTTGTTGCTTCGATTTCAACATTTTCATAGAGAATGGTAGTTGATTGTCCGTTGGCGGATAGGAATGAAATCGAATTTGGTACTATCACCATCAATGGTTTACGAAAATCGGTTTTCAATTAGTTCAACAGCAATTGATGTAGACGGTTTGATGTCGTATGCGTTGACAATCCACAACGTTTGATTTTGCCAACATCACTTGGGAGCACAGTTGATTGTTTATAGATAGACTTATTTGGTTTTCTGTTTGATGCCGAATGTAATGTTATCTCACAATGCTTATTTGTGGTCTCTTTAACAGAAATCGAAGTTGATGGCCCACTGGTAAAAATAAATGCTATTTGATCTGATTTACAATTCGGCACTTGTTTATGACGTTTGGTTCTGACTACTTCAATTGGGATTGGAACTGGTGGATCATTGACTGATAATGATATTGACAACTTTGGAGCTATCCGCATTAAATTTTTAGGAAGGCTGGCTTTGTTTGGTTCAATAGGAATTGATTTAAATAGTTCATTGTCAGACCTATTTGACTTCTGGTTTGGTTTTTTATGCACTGAGAGACCGCGGCGTTTGGTTGCGTCTCGTTCAACAGGAGGTGAAGACAAATGCACACGGGGAGATGAGCTTGATTGTTGTCTTCGGGATCCATAATCAAACTCACTATCACTCTGTGTAGAGTTAGTAGCAGCTCTTCGCTTTGCTACGGTATTGAATATTTTTTCTGTCGTCAATATAGCTTCGTTATTTGCCTCCATTTGTTTAACAATTTTATAGGCAACACACTTTCTTTTAATATCTTCTTTACAATTGACTCTTTGTGAAATCGAAGTGGTATATATATCCCCATTGCTCCTCCTTGAAGCAATGCATTTACAAAAATTTACGGAGAAATCGTTTTTTTCAATTGGAACTAGATGTACCTAAAGAGAATTCAATTAACGACTAAGATAATTACAGTTACCTTATATTTCAAATCCCACTTGAAGGGCTTGACACAACCTCCATGTTTAATTTGCAAGCCATATTTATAACCAAAACATACTACATCGTTCTCCTTCAAAGCAACCTTGCCTAAAACGCGGACGAAGTTGACATATGTTCCATGAGTGCTTTCGTCACTAATAAGGAATGAACCGTCTGAATTCCTTTCAATAGTGGCATGTGGATTTGATACCATCTTCTCCCCAATGACACTTTTAACAGTCCAATTTATTCTTTCAGTCTCTGATGAATTACCAATTACAATCTTGTCCAGAAAGCCAATGTTCAACATCTTGTGATATTCATGAACTTGGAAGATCGCATTATTTCCACCAGTACACGAATTTGGAATCTGTAGATCGCCTATCCAAATCAACTGCAAATCTTGCATGTCTCTGGACTAAAATGACAAGTGCTATTCAGTAGACTTTTAAAATTTATTCTGACCATTTGTGAACTATAATCAGATTTTAAAAATGTCAATTAAGGAAAGATATGATCACAGATAAATGGTCACACAATACCATAAATTGTGAGCTTTATTTATTCCTCATTTGCCATACATCAGAGCATTTAACAAAACGTAAATTGGTTTGCATAAATTATGACTTGTTGCTGTTTGTTAAGAAAAAAATAAGACAAATTTCATTAACTTTAAAGTTATTACTTGCCATGACTCTGCCACGTTTTCGTTATTCCATGAAATATACAAAGAGTCGTGTTGATTACGAACAATTTACTGTAAGCCAAATAGAAAAGTCTATGAAGTTAGGATGAATCTTTACTGAGATAAAATATTGTATTGTGATAATATTTATGAATGCATATAGGGGTGCGCGTTAGAGTTATCTCAACGTGGTACACCCTGGGCAACGTATGTTCACAGGGCAAAAAAGTCTATTAATCGGTAGTTGACTTCTGAATTCAAACTACCATCACCCCACTGTGTCATATTCGACCACTTTCACAGTACTCATCTTAAATTTTCTCTGCATTTGTGTCCGTCTCTCTTTTACACCAGTGCATCACTCTTCTCTTCTCCCTAATGAATTATTCTCACTCTGATGTTCCTCTTCCTCTCTGCGAAGCCCGCAGTCAGCTAAAGGGCTAATGATGACTATCAAAACGTCTGCCATTTGATATAAATAAATGAATGCATATAAGTGCTAATGTCTATTCCACTAACATTCCATTATGATCTTACCGTCCTGAGGATTTCCTTGTGATCTCTATTCAAAACCAATCAGCTATCTGTCAAAGCGTTTACTAACTATTACCTTGTAAATTCAAGGATTTGGGGTCTATCAACACTTATTCTCACGTGTCTAATGAATTTAGGCCTAAAACTTAATGACCTAAAACCGATTGGGAAATGGGGATTTGGACAAACGCAGTCAAATATATATATATATATATATATATATCAGGCGGGATCTTCCTGTTTTCTCTATCACTTGAAGGAAATAACTATTTGAAGTGACATGACTCAATTCTAAATTGAAATATTTTTATCTGAATTCATAGTACCATCTTGCTTTACCATTTTCAAATTTAATAATAAAATATCAATATATTTTATTTATTAAATGAAAATTATTCTTTGAAAGAACAAAAGGGCTGTCATTCTTTACACCTTTTGAATCAACAAGGCGTTATTTGCATTTTAACATAACGAAAATCACTTTTTCGTTCTAACTACTTTTGAGTCCATCTTTAGTACAACTTATTCAATCATTTGTGATGCATAAAATCGTGAGTTATTGCATTTGATAATTAAATCTTTGTTGTTTTATTTATTTTATTAAAGGTCCCATTCTTCCCAGTTGATTCATCTTTAAGTCGGTAAAACACTATCAACAAAAAATGAGTGTTTGCGTCAACGAAGGGTTAATGTTGGCTTCTTCAATGCAAAGAAAATGTTGAACTATTAATAAGAAGACATGCTCAAATTCACCCTAAAAGCTTAATGAATTTTCACGTACAAATATTTGCTACATGGGGTGCGCGATAGACTTACCTCCACGGGGTGCACCCTAGACAACGTATCTTCGTACGGCAAAAAGGTCTATCACTCGGCAATCTATTTGATTTGACTTCGATTTATTATGATTGGCTTAAAAGTGGCTATAAGAGAAATCGCCCTCGTCTTCAGATCCTCCAGTGGAATGCTGGAGGGATGTCACAGGACAAAATGATCAAAGTATATAAAATCCAACAAACATTTGATGTAGACATATTCACTATTATGGAAGCAAACATTTCGGATGAAAAACTGAAGTACTACCGATTCCCAGGTTACACTCTGTACCTTCTGCCTAAATACCGGCAAGTTGCGAGTGGAATTCTAACTGGAATAAAAGAAGGCCTCACCTCACACTACGATCTAATCAAGAGTATGAGCTCGACACAGGACATATGTGAAATAATCAGATTAAATGTTTGGAAATGTCAAAATCACTTCAAGGTATATGCAGTCTATAATCCACCCCAGAATTGTCCCAACTTTGACTCTCTGAACATCTCATACAAAACGGCAGTATTAGGAGACTTCAACGCCCATTCCACCAGATGGGGCTACAAGGATACCAACATAGCTGGAAAGGAAATTGAAGACATGCTAAACAGCAACCCTCTGGAACTTATTTACAGCAATGAGGATCCGGCTACATATTTGCACTACAATGGAACCACAACAACTCCAGACTTACTCCTGGTTTCAAGCGACATCAGCGAGCATACACGCCGAAAAATAATTGACGATCCTGGTTCTGGCCACAAACCAGCCATTGCTAGTATTACCATCGACAGCAAAAGCGTGACAATGAAAGTACCAACTAAGCTATCATGGAACTTCAAGAAGTCTGACTGGC